CCCCGCACTCGTCGTGTCCAGGAAACTTTCTTCAGGATTTTAGGAGAACTCAGGGGTCAGGAGTGTTTCTCGAGATGGGTGGCTCCTGATAAATTGGAAAAGTTGTGCCGTTATTTTATGACATACCTTCCTCAAATTTTACCTTAAAAATTAAGACACTGCCCCAAGTTATCAAGCCCAAACGTCGTTTATGAGAGGAGATACCCTTTTACGCGAGTTCTTAAATTCTGTGTGAAGTTCCCTAAAGTTTGAGCGCTTCTTACCCTTTGCCGTGTGCGCTCCGAGCTGCACCTCGGCCTCTCACGCGCCTGGCCCGGTCTGTGTGATTCAAGCCTTTCTTTCCCGCCCAGCTTTCTTGGCGTCGGGCGTGGCGTGGCCGCGTGCAATGTGGAGCGAGCCTGGCGTGGCCGGGAAGTCCTGTTTATGACCTTTCCAGCTCGGCCCGGCTCGGCCCGGCTCTGCCCCTGCTTGGCTTGACTCGGCAGCGGCACTTTGAAGAGTCCTTTGCATAGCCTCGCACGCGACCGCACCCGCCCCTGGGCAGGGCACTGTTGCTGGCCCAAGTGTAAATCCGTCCTCGAAACTTCCTCTGACTTAGTTTGTTCTAACCATGTTTTCTTTTCTCCCTTGTGTCCGCAGGTGTAACCCTCAGCCGCCCCAATCACCATGACGACAGACATATCCCTGGTCCGGTGGGACCCGACGCTCCAGCAGGAGATCGTCGAGGACTACGAGTATGATGGCGGAAACTCGTCGTCGCGACTCTTCGAACGATCGCGCATCAAGGCGCTAGCAGGTGAGTAGCTAGGCAACGCGCAGCTCAGCGCTGCGTCGGGGTGGGCGCGGTGGCCTACCCGCACGGCGCTCCCGGCCACGACAACCGAGGCGAGCCGAGCGAACGCACCTGGCGGCCTGGCCGAGGGACCGGGGCAGCTAGGCCGAGTATGCATTCGGGAAATGGGCGGGGCCCTAGGGGAGTCGTTAGCGAAGAGCGCAAGGAAATGGGGGAGGGGGGCGTCCGGGATGTGACTTTGCGCGCTCGTTCGGGTGCCGGCGCGGCGTTTAAGCCGACGTCTCTCATTCGTTTTATTTTGTAAAGCCTTTCATCGAATAAGAATATTTCAAAATTTTCGATATTTAGGCTAAAAGGCTGGCTCATGGGTTTTGATTTTGTTGCGATGAGTAAGTGGATCGACGTGAATGGTCGGTAGCTCGGTGTGAGGGGGGGTGGGGGGCGGGGGGGTCGTCACTGCGGGGCGCTGAGGGGCGGGGTCTCGGCGTTCCGTCGGTCCACTCCGCGGTGGGCGTGCGCGTCCGGTCGCTCGCTGCTTCACCGCCGGCAGAAAATGCGCTTGCAGGGCGCGCTGAGGCCATTTGCCTGGCCAGGCCCTCTTTGACCTTTTTACGGTCAACTTTGTTCAGTCAGTAAGCTAAAATTCAAAGTCCGATCAACTCACAACCTGTACTTGCTGTACTTACTGGCTCTATTCAAGTTATAGGATTCTCTATATCAGCTATCGAGTGAGGCCCGTCGAACAGAGTTTATCACCACAACAAAGTCCGGTTTCCCGTCCCGTGAATAGGTGAAGTATCAGTGCCCAGATGCATGGAGTTGCTAAATGGATGCATATCTGCTGTCGGTGCGTGGAGCCTGGGTGGGTCGCTCCTGTTCGAACCCCAGTGAGCATTCCGAAATCCGACTTTTGATCCGGGTAGGACGTGGATTTGATTGATGTCGGATCGATGTCATTCATTCTCGAAGTAAATCGCCGCCGTGCCGACAGTGGACCGGCATTATCACCTCGCCCGTCGGCCCCCCGGCAGGCTGCCGCCCGGCCTGCTAATGAGGAGGCGACCCACTGGCGACGAGATGAGCGCCGCTAGTCGCGCGCCGCCGCTCGCCGAGCCTGCCCGCACCCCCGGGCATGAGCGCCCTGAGCGCCCTCGGCGCCGGCGGCTGGGTCAAGGCGCGGGCGCGGCCGGCCAGGGTGGTGCCGGACCTGGTGCCCGACGTGGTCGTGGACGTGGTCGTGGACGTGGACGTGGACGTGGACGTGGTGCCCGAGGTCAGGGTGGTGCGCCGTCCGGTGCGGCAGGTGGCGGTGGCCGTGGTACTTGCCCCGGACCCGGGTTCCTCGGCGGGGCCCTCCGTGTTGGGCCTGCGCCGCGCCAGCGACGTGGAGCGCTGCTGGGAGCGCCGCCTGCACCACTACCGCGACGGCGACGGCGAGGGCGACTGGGACTGGGAGGGCGACAGCGCCGTCTGCTTCGACATGAACTACCCCGCCGAACTGTACGAGAGGGTTGTGTACCACCTCAAAGGTGTGAGGGAAATCGTGCGTCGGAGGGCCTGGAAGTGCGTTGGGTGTGGATCGGCGTGAATATTGCTTAACAAATGCGTGTGTTGTGTGATTGCAGACGAACGAGAAAGTGTACAGAAAAAGACCTTCCAAAAATGGGTCAACTCACATCTGGTGCGCGTCAACTCGCGCATCAGCGATCTGTATATCGACATGAGAGACGGAAAGAACCTCCTTAAACTCCTAGAAGTACTCTCCGGAGAAAGATTAGTAAGTATTTTCGGACAGTGCATAACCCCATT